AATAATGCTCTTTGGACTCATCAAGACACTCTGAAGATTTTTTAACAATTATTCCACTTACACGCTGTGTCAGTCCCAAAGAAAAGCACAGACCCATATATGATATGACACGATCTCCTCCTGGGTTTCCACATAGAACATCTGTATCCCACTGCTGCTCCACAGTATTCATGGACTCCATTAACTCAGCAGCCTGGAGTTCACTTGGAAAGCTGAATGTGAGTTAAGCTCGCTCAACAGCCACAGAAATCAGGAGCAATTTCTTGGCCACAAATAGGACACCTGCATTTCCACTGGGAATTACTTTGGAATTCTTGTCCCATCATGGTAACTCCATTTTAAAAGAATTCCCTTGCTATCATAGCAGCTTTAGCAACTGTACAGAGCTAAGTAGAAGTTTAGAGTTACCTATTGTGGGAGCTGTCTGGAAAGAGACAGTCAAATTTTGCTCAAAATAGATGTGCATTATTACATTATTTCCACGTATCTGCACTTTTCTTTGGTTGTGTCAGTGAAAATCAAAACTGAGAAGTGTCCATAAGAAACATATCAAAAAAAAAAAAAAAAAACCACCAAAAAACACCCACCAAACATGGGCTTTTTGATTTAAATTCCCAGGCACCATTTTAAAATTAAACACTTTAATTATGAGTCATATTTGAAAGTTTATTATGTACTTTCAGTCCCATACATGTACACCTGTGATGTTGGTCCTAGGCAAAAAAATAAAAGATTTTACCATCTCTACTTTGTCTCTACTATGACATCACAAAAAATTGATACAATATTTCACTGTCCCTGTTGGCAAGTCACAAAATAATGAAAATTATCAAAATGAAGTACAAATGAAAGTACCAAATAGAGGAAAAAACCCAAAGACACTTCCAGGCTTTGAAATTAAAAACTTAGAAACGTTGTCCCACTCTAAATTTTTTGAACGGTGACATTTGGAAAATCCTGGATTTTGTTCTGAGGCAAAAGTAAAAATTACTTTCATTATGTGCAGATTTTGAAAGTTGATACCAAGGTGATTTCCCTGAAAGCAGTAGCTTCTACTACATCAGTGTGAACTGATGTGAGATTTCCAGACAGGTCAATAGGAGAAAGGGATCTTTTAATCAAGATGACTTTTCCAACTTAAAGAGAAATTTTGAGACATTTTTAACAGACTTCAGACACAGACAACAAAGGTGGGGGAATCCATATTCTTTTTCAGTGCCATAATTTGCACTTGTCTTGCAAAACCAGGCTGAAGTTATTTCACATCTTATGAGAGGCGTTGTCCACACAGGGAAGCCAAAAAATCTTATTATCTACAGGCAAAATAATCTGAGAGAGCACAAATAAAGGGAATAGGCAAGAGATTTCTGTAGTGTCCCTAGAGGAAGTGGATCTGGGGCATCAAAGAGCATGGGGAACTTTGTGAAATACATTTGAATAATGCCTTTGAAATAGGAAGAATGGAGAGACATGAGAAGTGATAGAGGAACTGCTAATTTACATCTCTCCCCTCTGTCTGTGCAGGCAGCACACCAGTGCCCTGAAGCTTCCAAGCCTTAGTGCCTGTCACCCAGTTCTGAGAAGGCACCAGAACAGTGCCCTGGCACTGATGGCAGAACAGGGAGCAGCAGCTCAGTCACTCTCCAAACTGGGCAAGTTATTTCTCAGTCACTCTCCAAATTGGGCTATTTCCCCTACTACTGCTCTGTGGCTGGAAGTGCCTTCAGGTCTCATCCTCCAGGAGCACGAGAGAATTGAAGTTGATTGATCTGAGTGGAAAGAGAAGTGAAAACACTGGCATCTTCTATTTACCAGCCATATCCAGCAAATGCATTCCCTTCCAGTGTAGGAAGGCTCACCTTATCCCTTTCAACCTTTTATGTTTTGTTTTCTGTGCTGAGATTTTCTCTGAACTGTTCCCCCAGACTTGACTTCAAGATCTGAAAAACATATGATGGAACCTGACCAGAGTAAACCTTGCTCAGCCATAAGGCTCACAATGACATTTCACAAGATGACTCTTCCCTCACATATAAAAACAGCAGAAAACATAATTTTCTTTTCCTTTTTTCTTTTTTAATAATCCCGTTTAGGAAGGCAAAGCAATCCACCAATAAGCCAGATGAGCATCCAGGCCAGGGTGAGTGAAGCATGAAAGCTGTTTGTTTGAGACAGGAAAGGGCAAAAGAGGCCCTATTTTTTGAGTGAAGCATGAAAGCTGTTTGTTTGAGACAGGAAAGGGCAAAAAGAGGCCCTATTTTTTTTTTTTGCCACCTCCAAATCTTTGCTCAGGTATCCATTCAAACCTCACCCCTAAGAGCAGCATCAGATAAAGACTACAGGCATTCCTTGCATCCTCACTTCTGTTCAGATATAGCCACAAAGAAAGGGCCTCCTGCAGCTTTGTCATCTGCGGTCAGATTCACCAGGGGTAGGGTGGGAACAGGAAGTTACCCATGGAGCAGGCACCCTGAGAGCCCTGAAAGCCCTGACCCAGCTGGCTGATCCAGCTCCACGCGTTCTTGCCATCCTTCCTAACATAAAGGTTGGGAATTAAGCTGCCCTTAGCACGAGGTTAATGACAGAATTGCATCTGTTCACAGTCAAGCAAGGGCAGCCATGATCTGGTCTGCATGGGTAAGTTGCTTACAGGGAGGAACAAAAAGGTCTAAACCACAGAAAACAAGAAATTGAAACTAAGCATGGCACAAAGTTGTTTTGGTTTAGATCAAATGACACACACACACAACTTTTGAACCACAGAATTTATGTGCTTTCCTAGTGATTAATATTTAAAAAGATTGTTTGGCACTGGACACTCAGTACATGTCTTGCAAGGACTTGGCAGAGAGAAGAGGTAAGTAATCAGAAATGTGCCAAAAACTTGTCAAGGAAAAACTTACGCTCAATACTAATCAAGCTCAACTCTGTGCCAGTCCTCCCACTCATCCCTCCATAGGAGAGAGTCTTGCAGCGTGAGCCTGCCCATGCTGCTTCAGAGACAACCAACACCTTCCACAGTCAGCTGACAGAAATGAAAGTTTGGGAGGCTGAAAACAGAGAAAAAATATGAAAAACACAACTCACCTTCTGCTCTGCAGCAAGGATCACTGCTGGGCGCAGATCACTGCTCTGCTCAGGGGATTTCCAAGAATAAAAGACTTAATTTGCATGCCTGCAGCACTAAGAAATAAATTTCATTGTGCCCCTCATCTGGCGTGTTTTGGTCCCCAGTGCCATTCCTTCACAGCAGCCACCATATTTTTCTGCTACGAAAAAATTCATGCTAGAGGCTGTATCAGACTCCAAACTCATTAAGAGTTGTCCCTGTCTGGATGAGAGATGCAGTTGCAGAGCAAAGCCATCCCTTTGCTTGGCACTTCTGGCATTCAGTGTGCTAAAGGGCTCCCCTGGGATACAGCCCATGCCCAGCAATGGCGTGGGGCAGGGACACACAGGTGGGGTTGGTCTGGAGTGGGACAGGGACACACAGGTGGGGTTTGTGAGAAACAACTGCTCATTTTGAAAATTTAAGGAGGTTTGTTAAATCTTAACAAAAATACAACGAAGGACTACATACGGAAAAATCTGCAGTGCTGGGAACTGCCCCTCACGCATTCCATGTGGCCAGTTCATCTTCAAGATGGATCTTTTATACCCCTGGGGGTTGCATCAGCCAGCCCTGGCCCCTCCCAAAGTCTGTCAGTCAGCTCCTCTTTGCCATTAATCAGTGGAAACTGCTTTCTTGTCACTTGATTGGAGATCAGGTGCTGCCATGCCTCACCCCCTAAGCACCAAGCTTTTCCATTCCCCACTGCCCCATGCAAGGGACACGTGTGCAGCTTCTTTGTACCTGTCCTGGACAGCTCAGGCTGTCTGATGGCAACAATACAGGGGGGAAAGGGGACTATGGGGAGAACAGAGGACATCTAAACTACAACAACATAACAGGTCACATTTCCTGCTCTCCCACCTTCCCTCACAGGGGCTGAGGGTGCCTTTCCAATATTAGTGAGCACAGCTGATGAAAGCCCTGCAAAGCCCATCTTGCTCATCTTGCTCATCTTGCAGGATGGAGATGGAGACATTAATTATCATGCACGGGGGTGGGAGGTCCTTGTTGGAGCCACCAGTGTTGTTAGCACTCCTATCATTAATTTACCTTACAAATGACTGGCATCCACAAGTTTAAAAAGGGAGGGCTATTCATACCACTTTTTTGCACCTGAATTAGAAAATGTGTCCACCAAAGTGTCGAAATTAAGTAAGTGCTTTGAAATATCTCTTGAATAATATTTCTGTCTCCAATGACTATAGAGAGACCCCAGAAACAAGAATTTCTGTCTAAATATAGGCAGTTATAGTTAGCTGGTGTGCACCCCTGTTTCCCATACAGTTTATAGACCCTGATTTTATTTAGGTTTAAATATAGGATGCATTAAAAATCTTCTGAGAATCTAAACCAATTTACAGCTGCCTATGCACAGAAAGTTTCACTAACTTCAAAGTGTTTGTTAATATCACTCTACCCACACAGGGTACACATGTTTAAACAACTGCAGAGTCAGAACTGCATTTGGCTGGGAATCTGAACCAAATCCTCTCTTAAATTTTTGCCATTTAAAGAAGAAATATATTTAACACTACATGGACACTGCACTACATCAAGGATACTCATGAAATGTGAATGTTAAGGTAGCCAGGGCTACACGGGCACCACTGAAACACAGGAGAAAAGACAGCCACAACTTGTGTCACTCTGGCAAACAGCATTAGGAAAAGGAAATTAATCTCCCAGCTTCCAAAGCACATTGAAAAAAAAAATAAAAAAAAGAAAATTACTGCCCTCATAATATATATATTTTTTCTCTTGTAATGTTTGCAATCTCTTTTCTTTCACTCTCTAATCAACATTTTGAAACACTAAAAAAATAACACACATCTTTTCTACAGTGTTTATTTCCTGGAAGGGAAAGACAATCAGCAAACATGATCACCACAGTGCCAAACATGAGTCCAAAGTCAATTTTCCCAAACTTACTAAAGCAAGTCCCTTTTCCCCCTCAGTGAGAGATAACACACAAGTGTACAACCATTAGGCACCAAGGGGATGGGGAAGAGGGGGAGAGGTGGGATAGAAAAGGCCCAAGCAGTGGAGGTACATGCACTGTTTACTTTAGATAATAGTTCAGAAGCAGCTCAGAAACAACAGAAATCTTCTGGCTCCAATCTGCAGTGTTAAAAATATTAAGGTTGGAGAAAAAGTGTGATGGAGCAGCAAACATTTAAATATTGTTGTTTGGGAACATTAGCAGGAAAAGGAAATGTAGCCACTGCTGCTGGCACATTGATTTTCTCTCTCCCCATCTCTCAGCAAGGGTTCAATCCTCACCAGTCCTGCACACCAGTGTGACCCACACTGCTTATCTTGCTGGAGTTGGCAGTAGGGAAACACCAGAGTGCTTCAGAAAGCATTTCAGGATCCCTGGTTCCCAGGACTGGCAGGGGTCACACCAGACTGTGGAGCTCCAGTGATGCTGTTGTTCTTTCTCTGCCTGATGGATGCAGAAATCGTGGTCAACACAACAAAAGAAGCCTGCTACAACAAAAGAAGCCCTGGTCTCCAGCTTGCAGTGCTGTACAAACTGTTCCCTTCTTCATTGCCAGATAAACAGGCCAGCCTGGCCATGAGGAAACAGTCCTCTTGTGGTGGTGGCTTCAGGTGTAAACTGTGACCTCACAAAAAGACAAGGCAGAGCAGTGCAGAGTTAAAAACTTTTCATTACATCTTTAATTTCAGTGTAACTTTCAGCCTATTATCTGAACAATAACTTCTACCAGTTTTAGATTCTCACTGCTTTTTCCCCCTAAAATAAAAATCTTTGCAAATTACAGTTGTTGTTATATTAATCACACTTTCTGCAGCAGGACCTGTGGCATGGAGGATTAATGAGCAGATAACCAAGCACTAATATAGATAAATGAGATCTACCTACCTCTACTTCAAGCACTTACCCCCACATGCTCCACACTGGAGCAAACAGATCAGATAATGTATATTTCTGTGCGTCCTTAAGGCACCAGCCTAAAAGCCAACCCTCCCTAATACCCTCAAAGTATCAGGATCCGAGGGAATCTACAGCCCAGATAGTCCAGTGTGGTATTTTCAGGGTCCCCTGTGGCAGGAAAGAATGATGAATCTGACTCCACCCTCTTAGAAGGCTAATATGTTATGTTATGTTATATGTTATGTTATGTTATGTTATGTTATGTTATGTTATGTTATGTTATATGTTATGTTATGTTATGTTATGTTATGTTATGTTATGTTATGCTAAAGAATAGAGAAAGGATACTTACAGAAGGCTTAACAAGATACTAATGAAAAACTCTTGACTCCTTCCAGAGTCCCGACACAGCTGGATGGTGATTGATCATTAAGTAAAAACAATTCACATTAAGCCAATGAAACATGCACCTGTTGGCTAAACAGTCTCCAAACCACATTCCAAAGCAGCAAAACACAGGAGAAGCAAATCAGATTAGCTCCTGGATGTCAGGGCTAGAAGAGGCATTTGGAGCAGCTCTGCTCAGCCCATCCTTAAGAGACAGAACCCAGATATCCCTCCACAGACCCAACCAACCTATCTCTGATTAGCATTCAGAGGGGCACTCACAACTACTGCCATGTTTTTACTGGCTATGAAGATATCAAGGGATGGCAAATCCATCATTCCTTTCATTCATTGATTCCTCTAGCTAATCCTCTTTACTGAGAAAAAAAATTGGGCTTCACATCCGAGTCCTTTATAATCTGTCACCCTCAAAATATGAAACTACAGTCCTGGAAGCTAAATGTTCAGGGTAGTTCTGTGTAAGTCTCTCTAAAAAGATATTCTCTTGGACAAACAGATGTCAGATGTCAGATGTCTTGGACATTTGACCAATCAGCCACATCTGGATGAAAGCATTAATTTTAATTATATGGGCACCTTTTTTTAAATCAACTCTTCTGCAAACATTGTGAACATGTGTCATGCACCTCACATTCAGAACAGGGTGCTGTTTCATCACAGAACTTTGCAGGGTGAGCAGGAAGAGCCAGAACTGCCCAGAAAAAGATGTGTCTTCACACACAAACTGGCAAGAGGTTTCATTCAAGCATGTGCTTTGTAGGAATTCTGAGAAAAAGAAATAAGTGGTTTTTTTTCATGTAGACTCAGAGAAACCATTTTCTGCCCAGTTGCCTTGTTTCATGGAATGTCAAGTAAATCTGCCCATTTAGTAGACATAGTCTGGCAATAAAACACGGTGTGTGAACAGAAAAGCACTCCTTATTCTGCTTTAAAGTATCATAAATCAAATTTGTCCTTACACACAAACTTGTGCAACAAAAATTGTGGAGTGTGAGCCAGCATGAATTTCAAGGAATTAACTGTATTTTAAAAAGTCATCCACAGCACCTGAACATGACAGCAATAAAAACTTATGCAAAAATAACTGCCCAGAGAGAGAAAAATGCACCTGCTATTAACAGTCTAGTAAAGATACCTTAGGATATCAAAGGTTAATGGAGGTTTTAAAAACATTAATGCTTTAATTTCAATTATTTTAAGAACAACCATATACTTAATGCTTTACTGAGACTCCTTGGGCTTTGCTTTTCAACAGCAAACAGCAACTTGTGATTCCAACAAGGGCAGTTCACCACTTGGTATAAGTAGATAGTAGTTTAATAGGACCATAGGACAGCCATTTTTTCCATAATTATCTGACAGGTTTTTATCCACTTCCAATCAAAACCTTGTTCCCACTGAAGCATTTAATTTCCTTAAATTGAACTTTAAAATTCCCTTGCAGTCATCAGGCTTGGAGTCTTTCTTAATATCACTAACATTTACAAAAAAACAAAAAATCATTCTATGGCAACACTCTAACCTTTTAGAAGAGTTTTCTTCTCTTCCCAGTGCCAAAGGGAGGTTTGGAATTAAGCTAGCAGCAAACAAGGAAGATGAGAGACCAGATAGATCTGCAGCCCAGAGCATGCAGAATATATATGCAGCTAGGAAAAAAAAGTGCAATGTGTGTGTTTTTCAAATGCATTTCATTGGAGGGAGTTTATAAGAAGAATTAATGATAGTCAGAACTCAAATCTTATCTCTCTAAAGGGCAATGAGTCTTCTGCAAAGAAGAGATGCTTTCAGCTTAATTATGGAGTTAAGTAAATAACTATATTTTTGACCAGGCAGAAGAGCAAAGATTTGCAAGAATTTGAATTGCATTTGAAATTATCTGTGATTTTAAATTAAGATGTCTCTAGAAAAAATGCTGGGTATTATCTTTCACACAGAACTGAAAGTGAAATTGGCTTCTCTACACAGAAGGTCCTCTCTCCACAGTACAATAAATTATATTAATCCATTAGCAGAAATGTCAAGCTCAACTGATAATTATCAGCTGGCTTTGTAAAACCACCAGCCATTCCTCATTAAATTTATTAAGAGATCTAACTGGAGAGGTCCATTCTGAGATATCTGATGATCTTTCACTTAATGTAACAACCTTCTTGCAGCACAAGACTGCCTTTGCTGCAAAATGCACTTTGACTTCCAGGGTTTCACATCAGGCAGAGAGGGTTCAGAGCATCCTGCCAGTCTGAGCAAAACTGCACCACACTCAGCCAGGAAAGAGGGATGCACCACAAGTTCACTCCTACCATGGAAAATCCAGGCTGGAAGAGCAGTCTGTAAGCCAGGCAGGGGGATGTGAGAGCTGGGGCTTGCAGGTCACAGGGAATCAGTGGTGCTTGGTGTCCTTTTGGGTGGCAGCGCCAGCAACAGCTCCCCTGGCACATCCTCAGGCTCTGTCCCATCCAGAGCAGCCCAGCTGGGTCAGGCTCTTGTCTCCTTTCTGCCACAGCACAAAGTCTGCGTCTGTAGGATTGGTTCAGAGCACTGAGGGAAATTCCTGCTCTGCTGAACACCGTGGTGGATTGCCCAGCTGTTCCAGCAGTGCTGGTGTTTAGAAAAAGGGCTGTACAAAACAACATTGGCTTGTTGGTGAGAGGGATAAGCAAGGGAGATGGTTTTGGTTTATTCCAACCCCACTGCTTTATTCCTAATGGCCAGATTTATGCAAAAAATGCAGAGAAATTTATATCAAACAACTCAGTTGAGGGGATATTTTTTAAATCAAATGTCACCAAGATAAAATTTTGCTGGTTCTGCTGAAAAAAATAAGCAGCCCAGAAAGTCTGTTTTAATTTTAGACAATCCTAACACGTAATTTACCGTAAAGACTATGGCCATACCCAGACAAATTCTGGGGGTTTGCACATTGGGGTGACACTGTTTATAGTACAGCCTCAGTGAACACAAGGAGGGAGAAGCATAAAGACTTAATCTGTTCCCCCTGGAATGCAGAGCAGTGCCCTGTTGAGGCAGGACCGGGCTGCCTGCTCTGTAGCAGCATGTATAATGGATGAGATTTTCAGGAGGTGGGTGTTCAGGTGCCAAAAACTGATGCTCACAGAACCGTTAGTCACTTCTGAACAGCCTTTGGCAGGATCCCTAACTACATGGAACCCATCCATAGCTATACAGCTCACAAGTGGGATGCTACAGACTTAATGGTCTGTTCTCAAGCAGATATATGGTTTGTTTTTGTTGAGTTATTGAGTTTGTTGATGGCTTCTTGGAGCAGAATGGGATTGAATGAAAAAGGGAAGGTGATTCACAGAAAAATGGCTCAGCTGACCAAAATACACCTTCTCTACTCACTGGCTGTCACTGTCAGCTCCAGCTACAGACAGCTTGGAAAGACTTTTTCCTTCCTTTCTTTTTATCTCTCACTGCACAACGACATTAGTGTGCGCCCTTCAGAATGACTGATGAAGGCCTGAAAGCATTTTAGGAGCAATAGGGTAAGGAGAGAGGCTGAGGAATAAGCCTGGTCCTAGTTCTGCCAGAGCAGTTCAGGGGGAGAACTATGTGGATATATCACACCAGAAGGGAAGAGCTGGCAGCACCAAGCTTTTAACCAATTGGTTCCTTGTCAGCAGAAGACACTGGTCACCAGGATGAGAGGGGTAAGAAATGAATGAGGTTTGAAATTGCCATGGCTTATTTCCTCCTCAATCATTGGCAATTCATTTACTCTCAAGTCAACACTTAGCAGTAGTAGACAATGCCATCTCCTTTCTTTCATGTGATTACCCAAAAGGATTAAAAACGAGTTGATTTTACAGCCACTTACTTTTAGAGCCATTCATGAGACTGAGCTTCAAAACAACAACAAAACAAAAAAGGATGCAAAACATAACAGGCAGCAGAGAGCAAAGATGCACAGAACAGCTCCTCAGCCACTCAGCATTTCAGCTGCACCAAACAAGAGACCCTGCTGGCACTCAGGCCAGAGGGACTGTGACAATAATAGGGCTTAGAACTGAGACACTGCCCTGTGCCATGGCAGCACCTCCCTGCCTGAGGAGGCACTGCAGACACACAGACAGGGGCAGAAATGCAAGAACTGCAGGTGGATTTTCCCTCTGTGTGGAGCTAGCAAGGGCTGCATGGGATGGGCAGAAAGCTGCCCATGAGAGCAGGGAGGAGCCCCCCTGAGCTGGCAGCAATGCCCACTGCACACTGCAGAGCAAGGCAGAGGAGGCACTTAGAGCTTGTGCAGTCAGTCTTGTCCGTGGCAGCACCTCTCCCCTTGAGATGACTCTGCAGTGCCCTCATCCACCTCTGAGATGCCCAGCAGCAAAGTTTAGTACATTCTATATTCTTCTGCTGGGTCTCAACCCATGCAGCTCCTCTAGCACACACTCAGACTTCTAATCTTCCAAATGTTTAGTGGATCTGAGCAAAACAGGAAGCTTGACATGCACAGAGAGCAGGGGCAAAAAGGCAAGTTGTGAAATTATTTGTGAGGAGGATATAGGGGGAATGACTTTAGACTGAGAGAGAGTAGGTTTAGATTAGATATCAGCAAGAAATTGTTTACTGTGAGGGTGGTGAGCCGCTGGCACGGGTTGCTGAGAGAAGCTGGGGATGCCCCATCCCTGGAAGTGTTCAAGGCCAAGTTGGATGGGGCTCTGAGCAACCTGGTCTAATGGAAGGTGTCCCTGCCCACAGCAGGGGGTTGGAACAAGAACATCTTTAAGATCCCTTCCAACCCAAACCATTCTGTGATTCTATGATATCCTAAATCCTTGCTTTCTGTTCATCATGGACTTTGCAGTGCCATTTAGGCACCTGCTTATCCAAGCAAAACATTTTGCTAGATGAGTAGACCAAAACTAAGTTTAGCAACTCTGTACATGTACCCAAACAACCCAGCCATTCCATTGCAGCACACAAAATCTACTGTTCTGGCATGGCTGGTTAGCAGTCAACACAAAAACCAATTCAGCCAAAATCTGACAAAAACCCCAGCCTATTAATTTGGTTCCCATTTAACACATATAAAGGAGATCCAAGAGGATTTTCAAGGCAAAAAAACTACATAAGGGCTCTGGTCAAACATCCCACGGGTCCCTCCTCCCCTACCCCAGGGTGAATTCAGCAGTGACATGATCAGCTCCTGGTCCTGTAATGGTGCAGGGCTGTCATTCTTCACCCACCTTTCATGATGTGTGCATTTGACAGGCGTGTCACCTCTCTGCAGGGCTCAGATACAATCTCAGGCACTGACAAGGGAATGAAAACCATTTGGCTTAGGTACCAAATTGCCAGTCAGGAGAACAGGACATTAGGATTTGCCTCTTCCCCAGGCAGCTTTTGACATTTTGCAATTTGCAAGCATTACCAGAGGGCTTTTCACACCTGCCTGGAAACAGAAGTCAGGGCTTCATCATGGCAGGTCGAGTCTAACACTCTCTGTCACGATGACTTTCAGAGCAAAATTATCCAGCTCTGCTATACAAAATCAGCACTTCACTCACAGCCTGCTTGACAAATCAAGAGAAATCAGGCTAATATCAAATGCTCTTTTAAAAGTCCTCTGGAACTTACCAGTACATCCTGTAATAGGTCAACCTGTCTTTAGGTAACTTATATCTGGTCTTCAAAATAGAGATTATCGACTTTTAAGTAGCACTTACTGGAAGGATGGATACCTCAACTGAAAACAAAACAAAACAGAAACCTTAAACTCAAGTATTTACAAGCAGACTAAGCACCTCTCACATCCAAACCCAGTAAGTTAACCACCTTAACAATTACATACCACTGGTTTAATCCCACTGCTATCCAAATGGCATCATTTAGAGCCCTAACATCAAATTCATTTTATCAGCCTACATCCATGCATCTCATTCCTGTTTTCATGAAGACACTTGGCACAGGCCAATACATGGGAAAGATGCAAGAAGGGAAGGGATGGATAAGCACTGCCTGGCTTGCTCAAAGCTCAGCAGCCATTGAGATGAGGGCACAGCCAGCAGCTAAACCTGGAAGCAACTCAGCTGTGTAAAGGCATTCAGCAGGGCTGACATTTTTCTACCTGCACTAAAGCACATGGGTTTATCACCTGGTGTTCATTGATCTGTGCAAATTACTTGCCAAATATAAACTAACTGGTGCACAATTTGCATAATCAGCGACATGAAACTGAGGGTAATATAGCACTTGTGTATTTATGCCTCCCAGGAGTCAACATTGTGCTAATATCAGTGCATAACCCTGTCCACTATAGGAACTCACCCAGGAGACGGCTTCAAAATTGTTTGTTTTCTGCGTGACACATGTTATGTGCTCATCACAGATGTGGGGTAGCCTGCAGCCATATCCACCATACCACCTTGGAACTGCTGAGCTGAGGTCAAAACAGCAGTAAAAATGCAGCCTGGCATGGCCATGCCTAGCCCAGGATAAGCACATGCTGGCTGAAGCTGCAGAGCAGCTTTGTTCTTCCAGGCCACTGCTGGTGAAGCCAAGTGGAGAACAAACCCAAACACAGTGCCACCATCCAGGGCTGTAAGCTGATTCAAGTGTGTTCTAGTTAAAATGTATTAGACAAAATGATCATTTGGCTCTTTTCAACTAAATTCATGGCCATCAGACTGCAGGAGAGGCTATTGCCCCACCTAAATACCTTCAGTCAAAAACAAAGGTAACTTGCATCTTTTTGTTGGTGGTGCCTGCATGAGGGCATTTAATTACTTCATAAACCTGACTGTGAAAAGGATTGCTACTCCCATTTTCACCAATTACTCATAAATATGTTGGTCCACATCATACACATTTTTGGAGAGCATGTTAAGGATCTCAGCAATACTTTTCCACTGTCCTGAAAGACTTTAAGAAGGTTTCATCCACCCATAAACAAAGACCACTATGGAGAAAATGTCTGTGTGAATCCACCAAAACCAGCACTGTGGAAAATATCTTCTCTTTTGAAATGGAACAAAATTATTTTATAAACTATCCATGAGAAGCTATTCTAAGGGGAAAAAAGGGAAATATTCTTAATTTCCACATAGCAAAGGGGAAAACTGTCTGTCTCCATGTCCATGGGGTTGCCCAGGTCTAAACCATTGTTCTGGGGGGTCCCAGGCCCAGAAAGGATTCATGCAAACACCTGGCAGTCAGGGGTGTTCTGAAAACACCAAGGATCCAGGAATAGTGTACAGATCTACTACATATGTCCAAGTCGTCTTACCAGAGCTAAAATCTGGGAGAAAGAATCTCAAAAATTACTGGAGATATGAAAAAACAAAACAAAACAAAACAAAACATTCCTTGCAGTGAAAGGCTTCTTTATCTGTTCAGTTCATCCAAGAGAAGGTTGAAATGTGGCTTGATCACAATTTACTAGGGGCTGCACCCAGCTTACAGCCAGTTTCCCTCACCAGCCAGGAAATCATCCATTTTAGCAGACTTTGATGCACAGTTAAACAACACATTGCTATTTTCTAGTGCTTCTGCTGTAGGAGAATGGAGTTTGTTTCATACAAAGGCAAGGCTTACCAGGAATGTTTGATGGAATAGAAAGAACCAGTTGGATCCCAAATAAGCTTGGAAGAAGGTACAGATTACCTCTTTCAGGTACCACTGTGGAAAGAATCCTCACATCTTCAGTGGTAAGACTTCCTACAAATCCTTCACGTTTTTTAAGGAACTGTAATTCTTTCTACATTTTTGCAAATAGTTGGCTTCTTCTGTGCAGTTAACACTTGCTACTTGCTGTTGCCCACTGATATTATCAATTTCTGTTTGAAATACAAGAAATGAACCATCATAATTTTATATGCATTTGGGAAAAAAAAAATCCTTCTTCAGAAAAACCCAGACTTTAACATTTTACCAAAATAGAGGAGAATTCATAGCCAGATTCATGACCAGATCCCTGTGATATCTGATTCAGCAAGTCACAGCCTGAAGTGAAAGCCAGTACTTCTTAGCAGAAACACAAAGCATTTCAGCTATTGAATTTGTCAGGCGTAGTGCTATAACAAAGACCACAGTAATTGGCAGCAGACTGATCACTTGGCTTGAATGCAAAGGCTAGAGCAGACTAATTTTTATAATTAAACATAAAGTGTTGAAAAATTAGATGCCTGGCAATTACGAGATGGGAGAAAACACACCTTGTTCTACAGTGGCTAAGCCCAAGAAACATGTGTGCTCATTTGATGATAAAATTCTCCACTGTTTCTCCTATAGTTTTGGAAAGTTACATCATGGGCTTATAAATTATTTGCTTCATCAGACTTTCCAAAATATTACTGATTTCAGCTTGGTAGCTATAACATCCATCCTGGTCATGAATATTTAGGATTATGCACCCATACACAGATATACAGACACACATAAATTAATGTGTATGTGTGAATACTAACACATACATTTTACACACAGACATATATTTCTAGATGTAAAAGTTTCCACTAACAATTTGACAGAGATGTAACCTTTCCCATTACTGAATGCTATTGCATTTTGGCTACTAATGACTAGCAGGGCTCAGAAGTTAACACACAGAACAGGCAGGCATTACTTCTGTGCGATGCTTGTTTGTAGATCTTGACATTTCTCTGAAGTCAGCCACTCAAGAAAGCAGCTATGGCCACTTGGAGGGCTCAGAAAAATGAAGGCTGACCTAACAAAATCAAGGAAATTTGTGATGAGTCACTGTCTGACACGTCAGTGTGCCCATCACAGGATCCGCTGGGAAGGAGCACTTGTCCACCATTTCCTCAATGAATGAATTGGGATCACAGAGCAATGCTAATCAATACAGAGAGCTAGAGTAGCTTCAGAAGGATATTCAGAAAAATAATTATACATGATGCAACATTTCCAGACACCTTTCAATCCACTTGGCAGCACAATGCCCAAAGAGCACAGAAACAGCCAACATTCAACCATGCCCTTTAAACAGTTTGCCTGTAGAGACAGTTCATGACTCACAAAGCAGGGTATTCTCAGCTGAGACAGCAGCTTCTGACTCAGCAGTGGGCAGACAAATGTCTGCTGGTAAAGGTGATGAAAAGGTCACCCTGATAACTTCAGGGAAGGAGGAGCTGGTAAGAAGTTGAGCTCCCTACCTTGGGCAGCACACTTGGGCTGCAGGAGCTGCAAGGTGTCCTTCTGGTGGTGCAATAATCAGTGAAGCAGTTGGTGCATTTTGAACTGATTTACTAGTTCTCATAACTACACCTTCCAAAAAGAAGCTGTTCATTGGATGTAGAGGATGACACGTGTGGCTCTGCCTCACAGATTCTATCCTGCAAGTTCTTCATAAAGAACAGGAATTCAAAAGCAAAACTGTTCTTGTTGTTTACAGACCTTACGCAAAATATGTTCCAGGCTAATATTCTTCCATCCCTTCTCAATAAATTGTTAAAACTGACTTTCAAGTCAAAGTATGTCTCATCACAAAAGGAAGTTAATGAGTCAGATGTTGAATTGATCCTTTGAATCCAGCAGGAGGGGAACACCCTGAGCCCCAGTGTCTGCTGCTGTCCCCATGGAAGGACGTGTCCCTGGCAGGGACAGCCAGCAGGACACTGCCGTAGTTCTCAGACAAAGCCCTGAGGTACCACATGCAGCACTGGCAGTCACAGAGGGCAGAAGTTTCACAGGTAAACATGATGACTGGCCATTGAGAAAAGTCCCCTTCTCCTGCATTTCCTATAAGCCAGAAATGATAGCAATTGGAGGCAAACACTGTAAAGATGAAGCTAAATGTAAAGAAACTGCACTCAGAAAGATGCTGTGTGGTTCTGAGCTCCTCTGAACTTGGTGAGGAGTTCAGAGCATAATAAACACACCTCTAAAAGAAGCAGCTACAAAAACTCATCATCACTTTATGAGCTGTGTTCATGTTCTGCAGTGGCATTTTACTTACTAATAGCCTCCTACATTACCCAAAATAGCACCATAAAGAAGACCCCTTAAAAATATTCAGTGTAAATTTGAGAAAAGTATTACATACAAACTGAGAAGAACTACTGCAGGGATGCCATGAATTACCCAATAGCCAAAGTTTTCCCTTTTTTGCCCAGGTTATAGATTCACTAAGGAGTGTTATACTCACCTGATACTGGCAGTGAAAAAGTTTAGTTTGGCCTTGTAAAGATGGGGTAAAAACTTTCTAGAATGAAAAGACTCAAGTTGATGAGAGGACTCCCGTCCATCAACTCAAATGTGCTCCATTTCTTCTAGTCTTTAAGTATAGATCTGTAAAGAGCAAATGTTGGGCCATCACAACTTTGGAAACAGAGACTCAGATTTAATCAGATGAGAAGAATTAAGACCAGATAACTTCACTGAGAACAGAGAAGCTGGAGCATAACCTGTAGGTGTGAAATTTGGAGTGAAATCAGAGCGCCTCTGCTATGCCATGAAGACAAAACTCACTGCATGCCTGAAGGAGGGTGTGAGGGCATGGTGGGGTGTCTGAAGGATGGTGGGGTGTCTGAAGGTACAAACCTTGCCAGAATAGCAGTGGAGGCCTGCTTAGAGTGCAGAGAAACCAGCTTGGTGCAACCACAGCCCTGCTGGTCTTTGGAGATGGCTGCTCCTACCAGCTGTCACAAAGTGACGGGGCAGCACCTCAGAGAGCTCTGATGGACAGGGCCCAAACCAGCCAGAGAATGAGCTGCTGTTCAGGCAGCATGGGCTGTCAGAGAGCCAGCTCTCAGGGATGCTGTGTGTCATTCTGCTGCAGATTTTCAACCAATGCAGCCAGGTTTGCACCATCCCTTGGTTGAGGGAGCACATCCCCCCCCCCAAAACATGGCATGCCTAGGGAGGGAAAGGGGTGCCAGCTCCCCCCTCCTCCTAGCTCTTCACTTTTGGGTTTTACCTGTCCTCACAGAAAGCTCCCACTACTGCTGAGGTTGTTTCCTCTCCTCCAGGACTCTTTCCATGATTACTTGCAGAGATCAAGTGTCCTACAGAAAATCCGTGCAGGTGCTACAGAGCTATCAGATGGCAGTGATTCCCCAGCTGATTGCAATAGAGTTTTTTTAGCTCCTTGAATCACTTCCCAGAGATTTAAGAAGAAGGGAGTTCCCTGCAGCATAGGATATTGTCATTATGCAGCACAATCAGGCACTGTGATGAAATGCTCTTTTTTCAACAACAGGGTTCCCATGAAGATCTGAGAAGACACAGAGGCTTCTGACACTGATTGGGCTGGCAGATCTGGTCTTGGATTTCTCTCAGTCAGGTATCCTGAGCTCTGTGAATAAATGCCACAGTGCAGATGACAAATGGACCTTGTTCACTACCTCAGTCAGGTATTCTCCCCTGGCCTGCAGGGAACAGGCTGTGAGGAGGTCTGTGATGGAACCTCCACCTCCCTGCCAGGGCAGAGCTTGGGCTGAGGCACCTGCAGCCCACTCTGCCACACATCACATATCCAGAGTAAAAGGGGAAGGGAGGAGGAAACATTTTGCCGCTCAGAAAACTGGTAGGCTTCTTAACAGCCCAGGGGGTAGGCAACGCCAAAATGAGAAATCTGACTGCAAGCCTGAGCACCTTGGTTTCTATTGAGTTTTCTGATCTCTAAGCATATCTGGTCATACAGAAAGCTATTTCATAGCTTACCCATGCCATTACTCTGTGCTGTGTAACCTGCCACCATCACAAGTATTATATCCCAATTTCCCACACAGCAGGTTCATTCATGAATGAAAAGTGAATTTGATTCTCGAGCGGTTGATCCAGATGCTGTGGCTGACACTGGCTCTCCCTCCTGCTTCTGACAGATCACAGCAGAGCACTTTTGTCTGCAAAGCAACATCAGCATGTCAAGAAAAATCAATGAAAGCAAGGGGAAAAAATGCCTCTGGCTCTGTTGGGCTTTTAAAGCATAGCTGCTCTTGAGAGCTTGGAAAAAGCAGAACGCTGAGGAAAGTCCCAGGAGAGCAGAGGAACTTTGGAGTCACCTCTGGAGGAGTCTCAGGTCTCACTCTCTCTTGCCATTTTTGCTGACTTTAACTAAGGTAGGTCAAGTCACATGTTCCAGTGGCTTTTCAGCCGTTTCAGTGGGATAAGGATGCACCAAGTACTGCTGCAAACCGCAGTGCCAGGCATGCTTTGAACTCAGGCCTCATTTTAAGAAATGCAGCAGAAACACAGCACCAGGAAACATAATTTGTATCTTTTTATTTGTCCACTTAAGTGTTTTTTTCATGAGCAAGCAGTAGATATGAGAAGTTTTTGTCTCACAGAAATCTCCTGTGTGGCCACTGAGCACTGAATGCCCTTCAGAAGCTGGAATGTGCCTCATGCAAGGACGACGCGCTACAGAGCACTCAAAATGTAAATGCCATCCCACTGGGCCAAAGACTTGGACTGCTGTAGCTTAGGATGATGAATTTCTGGCAGATCCAAATCAGGTTCCCATTAAAGAACTTGGGACAAACTGCGGAGGTGAGCAGCCACAGGAGGAAAGGTGGGTGCTTTCCAGGCTCAGGAGTAATGAGCCAGGTCAGCATTCCAGGCTTCTTGCTGTGGACTCAGGATACCCAGGGCTCAGAAGGGCACCTCTAACTAGAGTTCCAGAGAGCTGCTGGGTGACAGAAATACAGCTGACAAGGATGTCATTAGCTCTGAGCAGCTGGCAGCATGACTGAATTTCCCTCATTTTAGAAACACCTGCTTTCTGAAATACAAATGTCTCATAACTTCTGATGTTATGCAGGGCATTTTGAGGCTGTCCCAGCCTGATTTCTATCATAACTGTTCTTCAAAAACATGATCCCGAAATTTCACTCTTCACTCAGACTAATTCCATGCTCCTTATCCAATAGCTTCCTATTAGAAATCCCAGAACTGCTCCCTCTTGTCAATGCAGCCTTCAAAACCCAGGCCCAGCAATACCTCATGGACAGGTCTTTAGCTCATAGAACTATCTATCCCCAAACATTCTTCTTCCTTTTCTCCTTCTCTATATTCTCTCCCATGTGCTTTCCTGAACTCCATCCCATACATTTCATCTTTGTTTGAGCTCGGCAAAATTATGACATATTATATCATTTAGTGAAAAGTCATGTCATTCAATTGGTTCAACAAGCAAAGCACTCAAATCATAAATATTAAAATAACAAAACACATATGTTCAAAATGATGCTTCTGTTTTACTGTAGGCATTTAAAAATCTTAATAACAAACAGCATTTTATTTAAACTGAAGGATGTTGAGACTTTGAACTTTTTTTGACCCAGTCACATGCACAGGATAAGTGATTACACTCAGCCACATATCCATTTCAGAGGACATACAAACCCCTGCAAACACACGTGGCCACATGGTTCATGAAGTTGGCTGTCTTCCTACTCCACTGCACACCTCTGTTTATAATTTTCTGCTTATTTTCCTCCAGATTACGCCCTTTGAGCTTGTTTTATTTGGCTAACTGAATCTTTTGTTCAGTCCAAAAGTTTACACAGTGTCTATCTCACATGGCTCAGGGTAAAATAAATCTTGTTCCATACATTGCACCAATAGAAAAAATAATTATTCCCCCTATTATTCTCCAAATACCTATCTCTACTCTTCTCCACGGTCAGACAAACTCAAAGACTCAAAGGGATCCCTCTGTCAATATCTCTGTTGCAGGGAATGAGAACAAGAGAAGAATACTCAATGGTGCTAATGCAATAAGGAAGCTACCGGGCAAGCCCTGGGCCACAGAGACAGTGCATCATGCTTGCATTACCATTTCAAGAAGATTTTTCAAATCATAGACCTTGAAATCCACTATTTGCAATTGAAATTGTTTTTCACCATCCTGGGAATAAGGGTCAAGAAAAAAGCTAATGATGGCCTTACAAATTTTACACACAAAATAAGCATCCCTTACGTGCAAAGCTGCTCTCAAGAGATTACCTCATTAACAGCTGCAGAGTCTGAATTTTTTGGTCCTGACATTTAGACAGGAATCCAAAAAGCCACCATGAATCACACAGACATCTCAGGCTTAGTTATTCTCAGTGAATCCCAGCTGCCCTCAGGGGCTATTTGGAGTGTTCCTTGCTGAACCACTCTGCATATTGTCCCTGCCATTTCCAATCCCACTCACCACACTTCTCCTGCAAAGGCCAGGTGAACTGGGGGTCCATCCAGTCCCACAGAGCTGTGGCTTCAGATTCAGTCAGCACAGGAGACAGGAGGTTCTGAGCAGAAATTCCTGGTGTAATTCACTGGGAACTGTGCTCAGCTCTGGGGTCCTGGCCTGAAAGGGCCTTCCCAGCTGCTTTGTACACCCTGTAATGTTTCAGAGCCACTGCTCAGGTGTGACAGGGGTGTTTGTGGGTCCAGCATGGCAAGACAAGCACTACAGGATGCAGAAACTACAAGGGGAGTACCAAGATCAGAGACTTGGGAGGGCTTAAAATGGCTCTGCCATGGAAATGGATCACCAGAAACCCTCCAAGAAAAGATGCTCAAAGGAAGTGAGGTTTTCTCAATGAAAATCAAGACCCAATTTCCTACTGAAACAAATCACCCCAAACGTGTCTTTCTAATTGAACACCAGCCTCACTTTATTGCCCTTCCACAGTGGCACAAAGAATTAGGTCAGGCAGCATTTTGTCCCCCTTTTTCACTCTTCAGCCCCCAGAAGCCACAAAAAGAAAGTATGCAGACACCAGATTCTTCTTTCAAACATCTTTAAACCATTCACCTCAACCAAACAGTTCTCAATTACTCCTCTGAGGAGGAAGCTATCAACCCTACAATTTTACTGCTATACAGCCCAGTTTGTTGGGCTGGTTGTCTCCTCCATCATTCATCTCAACAATGTAGGGAACAATTGAGCCAGACAAAGGCTTTTCATTCACAGCCACATGCCACCCACACAGTGGCCAAGCCTGGGCTCAGAGGTGGGGCTAGGAAGGAGGAATGCAGTGGGGACCATTCTGGGATGTACAGCCTTGCCATCCCCTCTGTCCATCCAGCACCAGGACTTCTGCTGCACACTTGGGGTGAGCAATGTCACAGGCACAATATTATTGATATTTGGGGACTCAGTTTTTGCCATCCACTGTTTTAACTTACCTCAGAAGGAGTCAGTATCCAACAGATGACAGGTGCTGTTTGTACCCAAAACATGAATGTATCAATCTGGAAAATACCCATATTCAAGAAGAAACCCCAGTGGGGAATTTATAGCTCAACCAGGCACTAAAGGGTTACTCTTTTCTGCTCCTGACTTTCAGGAAAGTGACTCCTGATTTCACACCAGCTTTCCAGAAGCAGGTCAGTAGTGCCACCCTTGGCTTGTCATTGCAGTTGTAACAATAAATCAGTAAATATAGAAAAGAGTAAAAGCTGAAGGAGGAAAAGACAGAGGATGTGGCAGGAAGGGGTAAATCTTCCAGGTCACTGAAGAAAGATGTGCTTGTTACCTTCTGTGTGAGAGTTTTCTCAGCACAGTCCTGCTGCCTTAGCTGTGGATTGTCTCAGTGATTCCCTGTCATTGCCTGGAAGAGAGAAACAGGCCCATAGGCTGCACCTGTCAGTGCTCAAGCTTCATTATGCAGAGTAGGATCCAAACAGGCATCTCAATTAATCATACTCATGTATTAGTAAGTAATTCATTAATTCAATAAACTGCTTTAGGCCATGGCATAATCAGTCATGTCAGAGATCATAACAAAAATCACAAACCAAAGTGTTAAACATGAAGGCATCCTTGCTGATTCATCATTTGTAGCAATCATTCATGGCACAACAGGTATACTTTATATACTTTAAGACAGGTGATGTGAAAAATTTATCATCTTAATTGTGCAGATTTCCTCTATCAGATCTGCTGGCTGAGCAATATAAGATCTAAATTGCAGAAAATTCACATGCAAACCAACTCAGAAAAAAATAAACATTTTTGTGATCTGCTCACTGATAGCCAGTAAACACTCTGCTTGATGAATGGCACTAACCTGTGCAGTAACTTGTAATTGCTCATCCTCCAGCCCTCAGGCTCAGGGCTGAGAAGGTGCTGTAAGAACCAAACCAGCCCCAGCTAGAGCTCTGAGAGCCCACACTGAGCAAGCTCCTGCTGCAATGCCATATCCCCATCATCCTAATTTCTACTGTCTCTTACCACTGTACCAAGGAAATGTCAATCGCATCATTCATTTGGACCTATCCATTGTTTTTATGGCAAGGAAGAAGGTCTACATCACAGAATTCAAAGGACTGGGCTTGAAGGACCTCAGACCCTGATGTCCACTGAGCCACACCTCTCTCATCGTTAGCAGATAAAAATTACAGATTTCAGATTTCAGGATTACAGATCTCAAGTAATATAATCCCCACGCAATGTATCCCAGCCTTTCATTTTGTGTACATTTAGAAATGTTTTCTCACCATCTTCCTCACACACTTCTTGTTATGCCTACCACAGACTTGGAAAAGGTTCTGGTCCCTTGCTTTCTGCAGCAGACTTTCCTTTTGTGCCTCTGAAGTTTGCTGCCTTCTTCCCCATCCAGTTTCTCTTCTATACTCATGATTCAAACTGCGATATTTTGGGGTCAAATTCCCTTACCTATGCCGGAAAAAAATGCAGACTCAGAGAGAACAAGACTGCCTGTAGATTAATACTTGTGTCATTAAGTTGGTTAAGATAGGCAAAATTAAGTTAAAGCTAGAAAAAGAGAGACAGGGAGAGCTTTTTTAAAAAAATTGCCCTACATACAACACAAGAACTCATTCCTACTGACAGACCACTTCTACATCTTTTTAAGCCTAGGAGAGGGTAAGCTACAATGCAAGGAACAAAGATGATTTCTCCTCCTTCTGCAAATGAATTAAGTTACAAGTTTTATAGTTATATTAAGCAGAAATTGAAAAAGCTTGCTGAAAAATTCACAGTTCACCTTTTCCCAAAGAAAAGGCCCTTTTTCATCCCAAAAAATTTTCTCATTTGACAAGTTGCCATTAAGTGAATACACTTTTGCTTTCATTGTCCCAGCTTGCAAATGGCATTTGGAAGTTGAGTTCTGCAGAGGTGAGTTACTGCTCCACGTTGCCTGAATTGAAGGACACACATTGTCACATGTCACACATGGTAGGGACATGTCCAGTGCAATGACTAGACATGACACAGGCTGCATTCACACCATAAATTCATCATTGTAGTTTCCATGCTTTGCCTGTAACTAAATTTGCAGTTCTTTACATATCCAAAGCTGTCACTTTTATATATTAAATAATTACAGCTCTGGTGAGATAGGTCTCATGTGGTTAGGATTAACATTGTATCTGCCAGTTTACAGCCATAACAACTGGCCTTGCTCTTGGAAATGTGCTTATATGCTCTGCCTACTTATAAATCAATGCTGAACTGTTCTGGAGGTTCATTACAAGAGATGCTTTGAGTCATCAGAAGCAACGTGGGATCACTGTAAGAGCCTGAATGAGAGATGTGGGACTCCAGGCAGCTCTTCCAAATGCAGTTTATTGTATCCAAGACATTATAGCACTCCAGGGTGGTGGGTGACAGAGCCTGTGCCTGCAGCTGTCAGCTCCAGCTGCAGGCAGGCCTGGAGACCCTGAGTTTAGGTTACAAATGCATTATATACTTCTCTTTGCTGAGCATCTTCATACAGTGGAACCAATCTACACCTTAACTTTTATCTACATCCTATCATAACTACAGTAATTACCATATTCATGTTAATATTCCCCAATCACTAAAAGTTGGTACATTACAGTTAAAGCTAGGAGTTGTTTTTCAGTTTTCTTGCAGTGGAAAGAGCACCTTTTTTCTACTTGCAACATTTGCTGACTTTTTTGCCTGTGCTATCTTTCTGCTTGGTAAAAACATCTTCTTGTTTGAGGTGGGTTCATCCTTTGCTCTAAACCATAAAAACCCCTTCTAACTAACACACCCTTTGCCTCTTTGGTTATCCACTAAGACTGGCTCAGCAATTATTTTCTTCTATATCGAAACTTGCTTCCATCTCCATTCCTTCTTCAAATTCTACATTCAAAAATCTTTCTGCTAATCATACATATCTGTGAGACTTTCTTGTCAAACTTTCATCCTTCCCAACAACCACCAAAGGCCTGATCCTGGGGAGGGCTGTGTGCTGCTGTCCCTTCAGAGAAACCCTGGCTGCTGTTGGAAGCATTCAGCAGCTGAGGACACAAAGCTCTCTGTAAGAGTGAGTCCTTCTCAAAATGGAGAAGGTTGTAGGGATAATTATTTTTATGTGTTAGGCTGGGGATAAGCTCAGTAGGTATTAGATGTTTTCCAGGTCCTGCCTGTTGTATCACCACTTTCTTCCAACTGAGCCAGTACAACAAGGGCAAGATCCATCACACAAAGCTGTCTGGGAGTCTGGTCTATACTCAGCAGGTTTTGTCCTGCAAAGTCAACAGAGAGAGGGGTGCCTTCCAGAGGGCAGCGAATTTTAGGATATCCTAAAACAGATTGTGGAAATACATGAAGTGGCTCCCCAAATGCCTGTTGGAGATTAGACATATAGCCTCGCAACTGTTAAGATTCAGCAGTATGAATTACCCGAAAGGTAAAAAACTAATTCTTTTCCAAGCAAAGATCTGGTTTTATTTGAAGTTTGACACTCCATGGTTTGAGAGGGGGTTAGAGCAGCTGGGCAGCAGCACACACCATGAAGGTCAGGGTGATTTTAACATCCAGGATGTCAGCTGGTCCCACAGTGGTGCAGCCCATGAGTGCCTCTAGCTGGACCAAGGTGTATCCAGGTCATCCCCTGGTTGTGGTGCACTGTTACACAGGCAGGCATGAGCTCCCTGGCCTCGGAAAGAAGCTGCATTTCAGGCTCTCTTTGCCCAACACAACCACTTGGGACTATTTCTTCTCATTTCAAAAACCAAGCAATGCAGGCTTTCTCCTGCAGGGAGCAAGTCCCGCTGACCTGTCACTGAGATGCAATATGCCAGCTTTCCTCCTGTCTCCTGACTTGCCCATCAGTGGAAAGGAGAGCCAGCTCCCATCTTTTCCATCAGTCCATGGCATGAGTTTCCCTGACACAGGACACCACTGTGGAGCAAAGGTACAGACTGACTGCTGCCTGCCTTTCACACCCTCTGTCACTCCTCAGCACTGGGGCTGTCCCTGCAGTGGAAGCAGAGACCCTCTTGTATTCCTCCTTGCTCTTGCTGCTGCACAGCCTGTGTCATCAGCCTCAGCTCACTGTCCAGACACATGGGGCCCACTGAAACACAGAATTGTTTCAGACATTCACTCTGGAGATGGCAGAGCAGAGCTATCCTTTTGTGGGATCATTCTGCTCATCAGGAAAGCTGCTGGCTTTGCAGGCACCTGAGCACAACACACAA